CGCTAAACAACTCRGTGAGACCCTGTCTCTAAATAAAATACAAAATAGGGCTGGGGATGTGGCTCAGTGGTAGAGTGCCCCTGAGTTCAATCTCTGATCATCCAGAAAAAGAAAAAGGAAAAGATCATGACTGCTATGATTTGACTGTGTTCACGTGTAGGAAACTTAATTCCCAATGCACCAGGGTTTTGGAGGTGGGACTGGTTATGAGGGGTGGCAAAATCATGAGGGATTTGCCCTCATGAATGAACTAACATTGTTATTTCAGGTGACAAAAGAATGAGTTCAGTCYCTCTTCTCTCTTCCTCTTCTCTCTGCTCTTTCTCCCTCTCCTCTCCCCTCCTTTTCTCTTCTCTCCCTCTCCCTCCCTCCTGCATGTGCATATGCACAACTTTCTCTCACCCTTCCACCTTCTGCCATGAGATGATGCAGCAAGACAGCACTTGTCAGATGTGGGCCCTGGACCTTGAACTTCCCAGCCTCCAGGACTGTAAGAATATGTCTCTGTTTTTTTGTTTGTTTTTACAAGTTACATAGTCTGGAGTAATTCTGTTTCTGCTGCACAAAACAATGACCTATTTTTAAAACGGGCAAAGGAGCAGAATAGACACATTTTTCTAAGAAGACATAAAATGACTAATAAGAACAGGAAAAGATATTCAACATTGTTAGCCATCAAGGAAATACAAATGAAATCCATACCAGGAGACCACGCATGTCACACACACCAGGGTGGTTATAATAAAAAAGATGGACAATAGCAAGGTTACTGATAAGGTGGAGAAGCTGGAACTTTCTTCACTGCTGGTGGGAGTGAAAAACAGCACAGCTGCTTTGGGAAAATGGTCCAGCTGTTCCTCAAAAGGCTACGTATAGAATTACCATAGGTCCTGGTAATCCCACTCAAATGTCTGTCTTGGTCTATTTTCTGTTGCTGTAACAGAATATCTGAGACTGGGAAACTTACAAAGGAAAGAGTTTCATGTTGGCTCAATTCTGGAGGCTGAGAAGTCAAGATGCAGCCGCATCTGGTGGGGATCTCGTGCTTCTTCATCAACATGGCAGAAGTCAGAAGGGGAGGCAGGCACCTTCAGAAGAGCAGCAAGAGGGCTGGGCTCATATTATAATGACCACTGTCCTGGTTACCTATCCAGATCCTCAAGAGTTAACCCAGTACCACCAGAAAAAGATGAATCCTTCTTAACTGCCACACTGGCAATTAAACTTCAGTATGAGTTAAAGGGACAAATGATAGCAGGCATGCACCCATGAGCTTTGAAACATGTCCAAGCAAAAACTTGTAGATGAATGTTCAAGGCAGAATTCGTCACAAGAGGCAAAAAGTGGAAGTGAGCTAAATGTCCATCAATTGGTGAAAGGCAAATAAAAGGTGGTATTTCCATACAATGGAATATTATCCAGCCATAAAAAAAGAATACAGCACTAAATGGAAAAGCCTTGAAAACACTGAGCTAAGTGAAAGAAGCTCATGATGGGTAATATATTATGCGACTTCATGTGTACTGAATGTCCGTAACACGCAGATCCATAGATAAAAAGTTGATGAGTGGTTTGCTGATGCTGGGAGGAGGTGGGAATGGGGGCTAACTGCTAATGGGGAAAGGGTTTCCTTAGGGGCTGATGAAAATGTTCTAAAATTGAACTTTACATTGTAATTATGGTATATAATATCTCAATAAAGCTGATACAGTAAAAAATAATCATAACCAACTAGGAGAAAGGAGGAACAGGGGTTGAGTTCCCTATAGAAAAGGATGGAAAGGAACTGAAGTTTGAAAAGCCTTGCCTGTATAGCAGCGAGCAGGAGGGGAGTAGTGGAACCCAAGGCTGAAGCAGCAGACCAAGCTGCGGCCCTGCGAGGGCTTGTGGGTCTGTCTCCTGAGAGCAATGGGAAGCCGTTCCACCCACCCGGATTAACTTGAGACCTACTATGGATACTTCATTGGATGCCTTCAGCATTTTTAAACCCTCCTGGCTTTTCCTTCCCATCTTTCCCCCCCACACACATTTTGTGTCCCACAGATAACTAATGGAAGGGAAAGTGGGTGCGGAGCTGACCTATGGTGCTCTAAAGGAGCACCGATGAGCAAGAAGGTTTATCTCACTTGATGGAACATTTTATAACAGGCAGGGCTCTTCAATAACAAGCCCACAGGGCTCCCAGAGCCAGCGGTGTCTCTGAAAAGCTGCAACAGGTGCGTGGGGTCTGGAGGGCACCTGCGMTAGGCAGGGGACTGGCAAGATCACCTGCCCAACCACTAAGATTCCATGAGACCAACAGGGCCCCCCTCACTCTTCTGAAATTGGCTGTGAAAAGCCCCTCAACCAACAGGCTCAGAGTCATCGTTGTGGTGCAGATGTGTGCTGTCCCACAGAGCTCACRTGTGAGACAATGCTCGAAGGTTTAGAGGTGAAGTGCGTGGGCTGTGAGATCCTTGATCCAATCAGTGCTCAATTCACTGACCCGGATAGGGAATACTGAGTGGTGACTGCAGGCAGGCAAGGTGTAGCTGGAGGAGGGGGTCCCTGGGAGTGTGCCTTTGGGGTATGTATTTTGTGGGCTAAACTTAGCTCTCTTTGCTTCCTGGTGTGAAGTCTTGAGCCACTTTCCTCCATCACACTCTGTGCCATGATGTTCTGCCTCACTCAGTTCCCGAGGAATGGAGCCAACCATCTATGGACGGAGACCTCTGAAACCATGAGGCCCCAAATAAACTTCTTCTCTTCTAGTTGTTCCTTTGTTCACAGCAGGAAAAAAAAAAAGTTAAGAGTCATGGTTGTAGACAGAATTCAAAGTTTTCACTAAAATCCTTAACAATTTTACTGATCATTTCCTGATCTTTTATAAAACACATTTTACCTTAAAACCAAAGGCCAAGAGTTCTCCCTGATATGCAGATGCTAACTCACAAAAACAGGGGAGGGGGRTGCAGAACAGAAGCTCTTTGGCTTAGACAAAGGTGAAGGAAGGGGGATGGGAATAGGAAAGACAGTAGAAATGAATGGGACATCACTTTTCTGTGTTCATATATGAATACACGACCAGTGAAACTCTATGTATGTAGAATATGTCAAAATACACTCTATCATGTATATCTATGTATAGACATAGATATATGTATGTATATACATACTRTCATGTATATCTAAAAAGAACAAATTTTTTTAAAAGAACAAAATGCACATTATGTACTACTAATGTAAACATCAAAATGCATTGATCTGGAAACCCTAGCATCACTCTCTTCCAAAATCCCCCTCAGGCCAAAGAGGAGAGCGGTGAGTAGCCTCATGCCCTTCWGAGAAGCCAAATGGTGAAGCAACCCAACAAGCAGGGGTCCAGATGTGACTGTCCCCCCATCCACCACCTCCCCAGAACCCAAGCAGTTTCCCTGACACTCAAGAACATTCCCCAGAGCAGCTGAATGAGAAGCACACTTCAAAGGAAAAACTCTCAGACTGAAACAAGAGGAATGAGGTGCACCTGGGACTCGGGACAACTGGGCCTGCTTGCCCTCTGCCCTCCAGCTGGTGTGGCCATATCAAAAACATCCATTAAAAAAGAGCCACCCTGAGAAGAGTATGGCCATCCTCCAAAACCGAAAACTAGAATTAGCACATGACCTGACACTACCACCTTTTGGTGTGCACCYCAAAAGACTGAAAGGAAAGCCTGCAGTGGGCAAGTGGACAACCACTTCAAGCCAGCATTAGTCACAATAGCCACAGGGTGGAAGCAACACTCTGGACCATCTGGGATGGGCAGATAAGCAAAATGCCCCAGGTGCATTCAATGGAATGTTATTAAGCCTTAGAAGGGAAATTCTAACACGTGTCACAAGAASGATGAGCCTTGAAGACACTATGCTGAGTGAAAGCATCCAGTGATCCCACTCACTCCAGGGACCTAGACTAGTCAAATCAGAAGGCAAGTAGAAGTGTCACCAAGGTCCGCCAGGAGGCAGGAGTGGGGAGTTGGTGCTTTCTGGGCAGCGAGGRTCAAGTTGGAAAGAAGAGCGCTCTGGGACAGGGGGGGGTCTGCTGTTCACCAGTGTGGATGTACTTAATGCCACTGAACTGTGGTCTTCCAGAAATGTAACGCTTGCAACTGGTTTAAAAGGTAAAATTTGCAATCCCCAGCACCACCGCCCCACACAAAGGTAAAATTTGCCATGTCTTACCATAACCAAAAATAGAATTTAAAAGGAGCTACCCTTCCCCCAAGAAAGGGTTACAATTTTCTTTCTCCTACAGATTCCGTTGGAGCGGTGTATTCTTGGTTATCAAAAGCATTCACGCACTCCGGATTGCGGACGGGTGACTGTCCGCGAGGTGAGGGAACGTGCCACCGCGCTCAGATCTCGGTCTCAACACTCGGGGAGGCTGCGTACACGCAGAACCTAAGACGGCGAAGTGAGCTGCTTGCGACTGGACGCCTTTGTCCTTGCTGTCATCTGCAATGCACATTCGAACCTTTTTTAAACTAAAAGCTCCGTTTTAAAACGGAGCGGGAGGCAGCCTGCAGCACCAAGACTTAAGAGCCCGAGACCCATCGCCAGAGGGTAGTGACAGGTGCTGGTGGCAGGCGCCTGGCTCGCCCCGGTTTTGCTTTTTATTTCTGCATGGCTCCTGTGAACMGCGGATCTGAGAGAAGGGACTCATGCAGTAGCCCAGCAGCGGGGACTGCTCAGCCGTTTGGGACCCAGGTTTGCAGCGCTACGGACCTACAAGGGCCCGGGGTTAGCCCAACCCGAGTGCCCAGGCACACCTCAAAGCCCCGCCCCGAGCGTGCCTCAGACTCGCGACGCACGTTCCTCCAATCACAGGGCCCCGGGGAACTAGATCCAGGGCCAATCGCAAAGAGTCTGCTTCCTAGCGTCCCGCCCTCCCCTTCTTGCKATTGGTGAGTTTTAAACCCACGGAAGCCAATGGGAGCGCGCGGAAGGCGGAGCGGCGGCCCGGGCTCCGGGCGCAGCGGCCCTGGATCCGGGCGCGGCTTTTGAAGGAAAACTGTCATGGTGAGACCCGGGCTTTCCGCTGCCGCCGCCGCCGCAGCGGGTGAGTAGGACCGCGAACCCCCGGTTCCTGCGAGCATTAGGGGAGGAAGGGGGACAGCGAGTGAGCCCCTCGCCTGCCAGCCTCAGTCTCCGCGACGGGGAGTCCAGGCCGGGACCCAGGGCGACGAGCCTGGCGACATCTCACCTGCAAGCCCGCAGCAGCCCTCAAAATGGTGTCACTGCCACCAMGTTCGGGATAAAGCGACCGAGACCCCCGCGCGGGCTCAGCACGGGTGGGAAGCARCGCGATGGGTCCTGCCGTCTGGACCCCAGCCGCAGCCGGGCGCGGTCCTCTGCTCTCCGCCAGGACCTGATCGTGGCCAAGGGGCGGGTCCCACCTGCCTCCAGGACTTGGGCCCAGGGAACGGCTSTGCACTAAATCTGCCCTGAAGGCCAGGAATCCCGCGGTCCCTGACCTCTTCCTCGTGCCTGGAGCCTTTCCTGCCCACCCCCACCCCCACCCAGCGTATGCCTGCAGGGTCCTGGTGGTTTTCCCAGCCATCCCTGTTGATGACTGCCAGGTTCTGGTCACTGCCCTAGGCGCTTTACACCACGACCCACTTGTTGGGCTTCTCTGTGCCCAGATCAGAACTGGGACTCCAACCCCCATATGTCACATTCTGTAGCTCCTGCCCTCTACACTGCCTGGCGTGGACCTCAGTGCTGTGTTTTCTCACAGCTGTCTGATGAGTCCGCATCCAAATTGGACAGCAAGAGCAGGGCAAATCAGTTCAGATGAGGTTAAGAATAGTTTTGTACCCCTGTGCTCCCACCCCCTTTTTTTAAAGCAGTTATTTTTGGTTTTTTTGTTTTTTGTTTTTTGTTGTTTTTTTTTTAAGAGAGAGTGAGAGAGGAGAGAGAGAGAATTTTTTAATATTTATTTTTTTTTTTAGTTCTCGGCGGACACAACATTTTTGTTGGTATATGGTGCTGAGGATCGAACCCGGGCCGCACGCATGCCAGGCGAGCGCGCTGCCACTGAGCCACATCCCCAGCCCTAAAGCAGTTATTTTTGTCTTTTCCAACATCTATTCTCTCTCTATTCCCCACCTCTGGTGAGGTCGGGGCTTTCCGCTTTCTTGGAACTTTTCATATGACACCAAAATTTTCCCTTATATTTTAATTATTGTTTTGTGTTTTATCTCTATTACTAGATTGGAACTTCTTGAGGGCAGAAATACAGGTTGAGTCTCCCTTATCTGAAATGCGTGGGACCAGAAGTGTTCAGATGTTTCTYACATTTTGGAACACTTGCATGTATAATGAGATTATCTTGGATGTGTGATCCAAATCTAACCATGAAATTCATTTACATTTCCTTACACTTGGTATACATAGTGCAAGGTGCTTTTATGTAATAGTTTTAACTAAAAGCAGTCATATGAGGTCAGGTATGGAATTTTTTACATTTTGGATTTCAGAGTTTCAGATTAGGGATGTTCAATCTATATGGATTTTTCATCCCCTCACCATCCCCTGCTTAGAAACCTACTCCAAAGATGTTTTCCATAAGCTCCCCAACCTTGCCTGTTTCTTCTGTAGTCCCACAGGAAACCATGTAAGGGGTTGTTGATAAAAAATCATTGTCTCTATTAGGAAAAAAATAAGACCAAGGCTAGCTCACCCCCATGTGGGCCAATAATAGAATTTCTTCATGTAAAGCATAGTGTGTTGTAACTGAGAATAGTGGATGTGATCAAGCACTCTGGGCTCTAATAAACATTTTCAAATCCTGGCTTTGCTACAGACTAACTAGATAACTAAGCCTGTCATTTACTTTCTGGATTGCCAACTGCAAAATATCTCACAGGATTGTTGTGTGGATTAAAAGAAGTAAAGAGCTTAGTATAGGCCTGGCATTTTAATAATATTGTGGATGTTCTTATAGCTTGAAGGCAAACCTGTAGGACTGGGGATTTTGTAACATGTTGCAAACAAAAAAAGTGTCATCTTTTAGAATATAAATGAACTGGTGAAAATCTCAAACTAAAGATCTGTTCTTGCTCACCTGTTTTGCAGAAGAGCGGCAAAGAAAGCTCCAGGAATATTTAGCAGCCAAGGGAAAACTGAAGGAACAAAACACCAAGTGAGTTTGTCTACCCACAATTATGCCAGTTTTGTTGCCCTCAGTGCGAATAGTAATTTAAAGCTTTTTCAAAACATAGCCATTTTCTTGCACCTTATTCAACCCACATTAGTATCCAATGATAACTGAAAAAGAACTTCTCAGGCCAGACATGACCAAAACCCCTGGGAAGTTTCTAGTATGTTGTCAAAGACTTAAGCATTGTTATTGTAACAGCCCCCAAAGGAAGGGGGAAAGGGTCACAGCATTGCACACCATGCCGGAAGCATTTCTTGTCCCTTCTTAGTCCTGGGAAAACTGATCCTYGAGATGGCAATCCTTGGTGGAGGAGGTGCACTGTCCTGGTTCTGGCGTTCTTGCTACAGCGGGGGAGCCGGTTATATGTCCCCAATAGTGGCCTACTGGCATCCTCCCGCCTGAGGGTGCTCTTTGACCATTCTCTTAGCACTTGCTTTTGGGGTGGAAAGAACATAACTGCTTCCCTAATGCCTTTTGTCAGCACCTTACCATTTCCATGGTGTTATTTATCCCTCTTGTTTGGCATAGATATATTTTCTTCCCACTCAGTTTTTGTCTGAAAATTAGATTTTACAAACTTTACTTTCACCCTATGTTTTATCTTAGGTTTTTACAACTCTATTTTCTTTATTATTAAGTGAACCAAAATCATTTACTCCAAAATATATACTTATTGTGTGTCAGTCACTCTCACTGTGAGAGACATGGTACTTAATGATACAGAGGTCTCTGCCCGCCAGGGCTTATGTTACAGATAATAGAAGCCTCTGTTAATTTAGCAATTCTTTTGGTTCATGTAGACTGAATCTTTCTGAACTTTGCCCTGATCTCCTTTTTTTTTTTTTCATTTTTATTTTACTAGCTAGATTTCATGTTATGCCCCTACTTTTTAAATTATATTCATGCCTCAGTATCCACCTGAAATTGGTTCCAGGATTCCCCCACAGGTACCAAATCTGTGGATACTCAAGTTCCTTTATAAAATGACGTAGTATTCCATGTAACCTATATTTATCCTTCAGTGTACTTTATATCATCTCTAGATTATTTGTAATACCTAATACAAAATAAATGCTCTGTAAATAGTTAGAGTATACAGTCTAAGGAATGCTAACAAGGGGGGAAAGTCTGTACATGTTCACTACAGATGCAGTGTTTTTAGTGTTTTTTTTTTTTTTCCCCAAATATTTTTGGCCCAAGGTTGGTTAAAACCACAGATGTAGAACCCAGAGATATGAAGAGTCAACTATAAATTATTTTCCCCCTGGAAATTCACTACTTGGAGATACGTATAACAAGGAAGTTTGTTACGGAAGCAATTCTCTTATCTTCAGCTTCCACCATGTTGCATTATTCAAGGAACCATGTTTGAATTAATAAGACTGCACAAAAATGAAGAGAACACATATATTTCATTAACACTATTAGAATGCTACATTTAAGCATAGAATATCTCTGAAAGGGTCACAGAAAATGGGTAAGAGCAATTGGGGTCTTCCAGGAGGAGAACAGAGGAAAGAAAGGGACAGTAAGACGACTTATTATAATTTTTGAATTACTTTACCACACACAGAAGTTATAATAATTTAAAATTCTAATCATAATTTTAATCACTGTGCTTTCAAGGTTTGCTGATCCTCCTGTACTCAGGATTAATTGTGTTTTACCTTTCATAGGCCTTATCTGAAAGCCAAGAATAATTGCCTGAAACCTCCACCTTCTAAATCTGTAAGTAGAAGTTAGTCTTTTAAAAGAAATATCCAGGTGCTGGGGTGGTGGTTCAGTGGTAAAGCCCTTGCCTAGAATGTGTGAGGCCCTGGGTTTGATCCTTAGCACAACATAAAAATAAATATTAAAGTAATGTGTCCATCTACAATTTTTTTAAAAATTCACTTTGAAAGTCACCAATAATAAAAATGATAGATGATACCAACAAAAAAACACGGTTTTCAAATATATTATTCATAAATATGAGTAGTTTGATTTAATAAGAAAAATATTTTTTGAAAAAAAAAACTGGTACACAAATATTTGTGGCAACATTATTCATAACACCTCTAAAGTGGAAATGACCCAAATGTCCATCAGTTARTGAAGGGATAACTGAAATACGCACAGCTGTACTTGCAGTGTCACTTGGCTGTGAAAATGCGATGAAATGCCTGTGTGAGGGTGCTATGTGGGAACCTCTGTGCTTTGTGCTCAGTTTTATTAAGTTATAAAAAGTAACGGCACTGGCACATGCTGTAACATGTCAGTTTTGGGGAACATTCTGGTAAGTGAAAGGAGCCAGGCACCACATGCCATGTGTTGCATGATCCCATTTATGCAGCATGTTCAGAAGGCACGGCATAGAGAGCAGACCTGGTGCTGAGGGCAGTGGAGAGCGGGGCTACGGACAAGCTCCCAGTTTCTTTCTGGGGCRATGAAAATCTTCTGTTATTTGGCAGTAGTGATCACTGTACAACCCTATAAATATGCTAAAACACACCAAATTGTATGGTTTAAGTGGTGAATAACATACGTGTGGAAGCTTTCATACCCACATCCCCACTTTTTTCTTAAGTGGTGATATAGAAATCTGAGGCAGGTGTCAATGCTGGGGCCCAAGGCATAACGTGTGGGTACACCCCATCCCTCCACCTCCCCCATCCCACTCACAGCAACACCACATGCCAGTACCGTTTCAGGGCAGGTAGCTCTTTGCCCTTAATGACAAGCCATCTGGTTATAGACCTCCTTCACACACTCCCCCAGGTTACATAGCAATTYCTCACAGTATTGAAAGTCAAAAACAAGAGAGCCGTAGGTCACTCTAACACTTGCAGATCTTCTCCTGGAGATGTCCGTGCTTAAGTGTGCCAGGGTCTCCTTTTTGAGCAATTGCTTTCACTGGCTTCTACCTTTTTTTACCTTCTTCAGAGTTTATTGTGGTGGTGGTGGTGGTGTTGGGGATTGAAACCAGGGCCTTGTACATGCGAGGCAAGCACTCTACCAACTGAGCTATATSCCCAGCCCCTTTTATTCTTAATTCCAAACTCCCCTCCCTAGCTTTCAGTTTTCTTTAACCTGGTTCTTTCTTTCTCATCCAAAATTAAATCTCATGACTAAAACATCTGCTTATTAGTAACAGGGGGTCTGACCTTAAAGTCCTGGCTGACTGACTCCTTCCAGGATACTGGATGCTTGTTGAGAGCTGTTCAAATACAGCTCAGGCTTCCCAGCCTGTCATCTGCCACCTGTCTGGCTTCTCGTCACTGGTCTCCGGCAAGATAGAGGGTTTTACCTGAAACTCTGCCATTAACAAAAGCAGGGGGTTTAGCTAAGCTATACAAAGTGCAAGGAGGAATCTGTTGAGAGGCCCTATATGTAACAGGTCTTCAGGATGTCTTCCCAAGGTCGATGGGAAGACAGGGCGTTGAAATGTAACAAGCATTCAGCAAGCACTGTTTGCTTTAGGAAGCAGTTTTTGTGTATTCACAAAAATTCAAGCTAAAAGAATTCTGATACACTTCTGATAGGAGCTCAAGTTATAAAATCTATTAATGAGGTGAGCCTTTCCCAGGATTCAACTTTCTTAAATTAAATTCTAAATAAAACAACTAATTTTTTCTAGCACATGTTTTAAACAGTTATTTTTTCATTGTTTTAAAAACAGTGAGCTAGTATGAATTTTTTACATGTCTGTTTCTTTGTGTTTTCAGACTGCTGGACCCCAGAGGCATGTTACCCAGCATGCCGTTCTGCCTGGCAAAGCCACRAGACCCATTACCACTAAACTCCAGCCTAGATCAGCCAACATCAGAGAGTCCCAGAAGCCAAAGCTGGAGCCACCAAATCTTCAGGGAAAAAGACCGACCTCAAAATGTCCTGCTTCTAACCCAAACTGGGAACTTTCCAGCAAGAGTCACCAGCAGCACAAAGCTGGGCCATCTGCTGCAGGAGAGCTGTCAAGAAAACCCACCAGGTCACCTGACACACAAGAGCARCAGGGAGTGGGTCAAGGAAATGCTCCATGTACAGACCGTGTGGATGGCACCCATGTTGAAAATGAACCTGAGGGTGGCTTTTTAAAAGAGACAAACAAAGAGAACTTGCCACACACCTTATTGGTACCTGAGAAGAAGCCAGACCCCGAACTGTGTTCCATGAGTAAGCCAAAGACCAACTCTCATGGTCAAACCAAGAGCAGTTTGGCTCCTCAGCAAGCCCTGGGAAGAAGTTTGGGGAATCATGCTGTTCTGAAAGACAGGGTTAATAAGCAGTTTGTTAGAAAAAAACACATCAATACTGTACCACTGAAGTCACAGCAGCTCTCTAGGGGAGCAAATCTTGCAAGACCAGGAGAAAAACCCTTGAGGACAGTTTCTTCTCACTTTGTGCAGACCCTTAGTCAGACTCAAGCATCAAAGAAGCCAGTGGTCAAGGACATAAAGAGTATAAARGCTGAAAGGGCTAAATACATACGGTCATACTCTGTTAATGAACAGGAATCAAGACATACCAAACCCAGGGTATACCCCGACTTACACCAGGGAGAACTTCAACAGAGACCTGCAAGCACCAAGCAAGACAGGAAGTCCACACAACCTTGTTCTAGACCTCAGGCACCTTGTGGACTGCACAAAACAAGAGCTGTAAGCCAGAAGCCCCMCCTGATAACTGGCAGGCTTAATTCAGTTGTTCCAAGCACTCCCAACATAAGAGCAAATGGAACCAATGACAATAAGTACAAAAACTTTGAACAGAAAGCACGGACTGTGGACTCCAAGTTGAAGAAGGCTTTTCCCCAGAGCCATTTTCTGAACAAGACAGCTCCCAGAACTCAAGCTGGACTCACAGCCATTCGTGGGAGAGAAGTCCCAAGGAGGACCCAAACTAACCCAAACACCCAAAAGAGAGTGACAGCAGAGGACCGAAGGTATGTTGTTTTACTTYCAAAATTTTGCAGCTTAAGTGAGAAAATTAGACAATTGACCATCAAGAATACTTGGTCAGCTGGGCATGGTGGGGCATGTCTATGATTCCAGCAGCTCAGGAGGCTGAGGCGGGAAGATCCCAAGTTCAAAGCCAGCCTTAGCAACTCAGTGAGACTCTGTCTGTAAATAAAATATAAAAAAGGGCTSGGGATGTAGCTCAGTGGTTAAACGCCCTTGGGTTCAATCCCCAGTACAAAAAAAAAAAAAAGAATAAAGAATATTTGGTCAGGAAATAGGCCATAAATAATAACTTCTAAGTAATTTGTAGCTACATCCTAAGATGATTTGGAGCAACTATAACAAATATCAAGTCTTGAAAGAACTAGTGATACATACATATTATTGATCATTCTCTATAATTTTATACATGCTTTAAAATGTTCTTAAAATAGTTGAAACACAGAGAATGGGTAAGAAACAGTTGAAGATGTAGACTCTTCACACAGAAGCACCTGCAGGGACCGAGCAGTTTTAGGCAGCCGGGCTAGTGGGAGCTAGGGTGGCAAGTCCACACAGGCAGAGGGAAGACGGTAGCTCTTTGTTAAAGAGACCCTGGTTGAGTCAGTATGGTTATCAGGGAGGCAGGAACGGCAGCGTCCACAGGTCTGAGCAGATCAGGTTTAGAGAGGGAGCTCAAGCCCAGAGGAGCAGCTGTCAAGTGGAGTTCAGGGGAAAGCCAGGATCTCGAGTTGCTGGGGCTTGGCACTGACATACACGGATGCTAGAAGCTGAGCCAGAGGATTTTGTGCCTTTGTTGCCTAAGACCAGACAGTCTCAGGATGTGGCTGAACCTCCCAAGAGAGGCAATTATGTATATTGGAACAGAAAGTGAGTAGATTCCTGGCAAGAATGAAAGGATGTAGCAGGAGGGTGAGGGCAGGATTTGGTCTTGGGAAACCAGAAGACTCTTTGCCCTCCTGCAGAGACAGAAAATAACACACTTTAGATAGAAGTGTCAGGGGAAGTACTTTCAGTGGTGACATCTGAGCTGAGACCTAAGGCTGGTGACGGGCAAGCTTTCTGAGCAGAAAGATGAGTGCRAAGATTCTGAGCCAACCAAGGTGCGAGTCAGGGTCCCTGCCCTCAAGCTGCTAGTGCAGATCAGAAAACAGGGACGCAGTCATAAGATTGCATGTGGCATGTTGAATACTTAATCACAAAAGGACCAGAGACTGTGGAAAGTGGGTGAGTCACTCACTGTCTCCCCAAGGGCCTGCAGCGAACTAGGCGCCAGGAGAGCGGAGAGCACCCGACTTTGCCCCTAGGGATTCAGCCTCTATCTCTGAGTCCATGGTCAGTGTGAAGGCATAAGGATCAGCTACGCAGTGGGTTTTACAAAAGGGCTGCAGAGAGAGACCTGGGCTGAAAGGTACATTTGCAAATCACAAATACATGGTCATAATTTAAAGAAGCTAGAGACCCTCCATCTAAACACTAGAGTCTACATATGTTGGCACATCCCCAAAAGTACCATATCACCTGCTTAGAAGCAGGAGGGTAGAATGTGAACAGTGRAGGAGAGCGAGGGTTGGGACTCAATGACATCAGAGAACAGCTGCATATAAATATGAGTCCTGAAATCACATATCTAGTTCATAAAAGAAAGGGAACTCCGTAGTCAGGAGGGGGCTGAGGACCTGAGGGAAGTGGGGCACTTTGAGCACCAAGACCCTGTTGAGGTACAATTGTTGGTTTGGTCTGGGTTGAGAGACAGCTTAGTGGCGAGAAATGGAGTGCAGAGTCAGGCTCTCAGCTGGAGGGTGTCTCAGGAAAGCACTCATCTGAGTTGGTGTGTAGGTAAATGGAAACCTTAGAGAGCAACAATAGCATCGAAGACTRAATCCTCATCATCCTGTCATCTGCCTTCTGCTGGCTGGGAGCAGCCAGGTGCTGCCAGTGCTGGGTGTAAACTGTCCCTGACTCCATTCTTCTGACTTTGTAGTYGAAGGCATAGACAACCTGATCATATATTCTAGAAGCTAGATGACATTTTGTTTAAATGAAATCATCTCTGTCCCCTTCAATTGCGTAACAGGAAACAACTAGAAGAATGGCAGAAATCTAAGGGGAAAATCTATAAGCGGCCTCCTATGGAACTTAAAACAAAAAGAAAAGTAATAGAAGAAATGAATATTTCATTCTGGAAGAACATTGAAAAAGAAGAGGAAGAAAAGAAAGCCCAGTGGGAGCTGTCCAGGAAAATCAACAGCACTCTGACCCAATGCCTGCAGCTCATCGAGGGGGTGAGTGAGCTCCAGACACAGCAGAGACCCCCTCACCCAAAAGAAACCGAGCTATTCTCTTTAATACTTTAATCCTAGTGGCAGTAACAACAATGAAGAGCACTTAAATGGTGGCTCTTGTGTGCCTGGCTCTTGTAAAGCACTTTCCTTATCTTATCTCATAGGATCACCATAAAGACTATTATGATGTCCACTTTGCAAATCACACTGAGGCACAGAAAAGTTAGGATACTAACCCATAACCCAAGCAGCATGGCCCTGGAAGATCCAAAGGAGTTTCAACTCTGCCTTCTCCTGGTATCAAGGTCCAACAGTAAACATTTAATATTTGGACATGCAGCTGAATCAAAGGGGCCAGTTGTGACTAGAGTGTCCTAAACACCCTGGGTAGCTAGAAATGGCATCTGCATGTGTCTTGGGTTCTACAGAGAAGGGTAAAGTAGGTCGCAGGCAAAGGGTATGAGCCTAGGAGGTTCCCTGAAGGGAAGATGTTAATGAAAAACAACAGGGACGGGGCTGTGGCTCMGTGGCAGAGACCCCGGGTTCCATCCCTGGTACTGAGGGTAAATACGTGAATGATGACGGGGCTGACTTGTAAACAAAGGTCCCTACCRAAGCAAAGGGACTCTGTCCATTGGTTGGTAATATTGTTACAGGGAGAGGGCTCAGAAAACACTCCAAGACCAAATTTGAAACAAATTAGAGAGTTTTATACCTAACCAGGGAGCTTCTACCATGCCCAAATGGCCTTCTGACAGAAGTGCACCAGGCTGTCTGTGGTTCCAGTATTTAAGGAAGAAAATCACATCCTATGGAATCTGCAAATTGCAAACAAGCAGGGTGCAAGGGCTGAGAAAATCAGCAGAGCAGAGTCCATACAGCACATCCTGGGTCCAAGTATATTTGCAGGGTACAAAGTGCAGAAAAATAATATTTTTACATTTGAAGAAACTTATGTAACAATTTTCACATAGGAACCATAAAGATGGAGTCATTATGGCTATACCTGCTTATGCTCGACTACAGTTATTCCTATTTCTTATACTTAACAATTGTCCTACTGGCTTATACTTATCTGTAATTTAACTTATATTTTATTACCTGTACTRTTTCATTAGTCTATATTTTCTAATCTGTAACCTACTTCTTTTAGATTAACTCATATCAGCATTTGTAACTCAGACCATAACAATGTTGGGCATTAATAAAAAAGGAAACCTTAAGGTTAGTGTTCTCACAGCACCAGTTCAGCGTTAGTTATTGCTCTTTGTGGAATTAAACTTCAGTTCTTTTTTGTTGTTGTTTTGCTTTTCCTTTCAATATATTTTTTAAAAAATGAGTACATTATTATAATCATTTCAAACAATACTCAGACAAATGACCAGGCCTCCCTGTCACTCTTACACCTGGCAAGCTGCTCCCTGAGCCACCCCACTCCAGTCACCTGTCTGGGGAGCTGTGTGGGTGTGCTTGGTACGGGCGGAGAAACGAAGCTCTAGTTTCTGCAAGTTGCAGTTGCTTTATTTGATATTTTTGTCTTTGTTCTTCGGTCACCTTTCTTTTTCCTAGTCTTAGTATTATGCTGACTTTGTTAGATGAGTTGGGCTTTTCCCTTTCTCTCTATGAAAATAGTCTGTACAGGGCTGGATTGACCAAGTGCTTTCTAGCACATGTGAAGCACTGCGTCCAATTCTCAGCATCACATAAAAATAATTAAAATAAAGGTATTGTGTCCATCTACAACTAAAAAAAAAAATTTAAGAAGAAACAGTTTGTACCTGAGATTTCCTTTGAACTTGCCACAGCATCATCTGGACTGTGCTGCTTTGGGTGATAGTCTTTTTTTTTTTTTAATGTCTTTTTACTTTTTTCTGTGGTTATTGGTCTGTTTAGGTTTTGTATTTCTTGAGCCAACTGTAGTAAATTTTGTGCCTTTTTTGAATCAGACTTGCCAAAGATTTCTCTTRATTTTTTTTTTAATATTTGTTTTTTAGTTGTAGGTGGACACATTTGTTTTATTTTTATGTGGTGCTGAGGTTTGAATCCAGTGCCTCACACATGCCAGGTGAGCACTCTTCCTCTGAGCCACAACCTCAGCCCCTCTGTGATAGTGTGTATTTTGAATTTTTTGATTACTCTTTCTTGAACACCGGTGTTTGCATCTATTGTATTTATTGTCCTTTTTCTAGCTTTTTAAAGTCTAGATAATTTAAGTCAGCCTTTATTATTTTTTTACAAATATGTTTAATGCTATGTATTTGCCTCTAAATTTAACTAATACTCCATCAATCAGGGTCAAGTTTCCAAAGCAGAAAACACACCAGATATCTCAATAAAAAGACGTGGGAATCTGCCGGGGTCCAGCTGCAGCAAAATAACTGGGGGGGTGASGAATAACTTGTGCACGTTGATACAGCAGGAATAGGAGCCATTTATTGTAGGGCAACAGAGCTATTTATACATTTTGCACAGCTTATCTTAATTAGCATAAACTAGATACATCAATCAACCAATAAGGAATCTCCACACTTAATGGCTTGCTTTTGTTACTTCTCAAACCACTCCCTCTGACATTTTGCCAGGCACCATCCAGACTTGTTTACGAACTCTAACATTTCTCTGGCAAAATACCAGGTGTTATTTTTGACTTATTTACAGACCTTAACAGGAATGGGAGATACAATATTATCAGTGCATTCCTAGGAGCAGAACCTAAAGGAGGATCAGTGTGAAAGTAGCTCAGCAGGAAGATGTTTCCCAGGAAGGGAGCTGGGGGAGCAGGAATGGGAGGGCCACAGTGTGGAATTCAGGCTAGCCTGAGGAGGGGAACCTTGGCACTATCTCACAGGAAGCTCTGGCTACAGGGAAAGCCAGGCCTCAGGGTCATCCTGATGGGGTGGAGCGGAGGCTACCCAGGGTCATCCTGATGGGGCAGAGCTGCACTATTAGTACTTGTGTGGCCATCTGTAATGRTAGTCCTGGGGGACACATACAAAAAGGCACAGGGTGGCTGTTGGAAGTAAAACACACTGTGAGCCTGGGTGCCCAGAGCCCTCAGGGCCAGAGGGGATGTGGGTGATGCCCACAGTGATGTCCTCTGCTACACACAGGGCTGGCAGCAACAGGAGTCTGAGGTGACAGTGGAGTGACTGCAGGAAGCAGCTGGCACCCACTGGCTCCAGGAGAACAAGGAGGTGGAGRGTGCAGGGGAAACCAGACAAGGTGCTTTCCCTGCTCTCTCACTCAACAGTCAGCAGAGCAATTTGGGGACCGGACATTGGGATATGTCCTCACACAGCTTGCAGGTACTAGCTCTGCCGCCGACATCAGCTGGCTGGCCTCCAGTTCCCTTCTGAGGCCTTCTCCCTGCAGATAGTGATACCTCCCACAGTTGGAGAGCTCAGCGCTGCAACACCACCCACCCTGGGCTAAGGGAAGCCAGCTGGAGTCAGGGTTCTTATCACTTCTGAGTGGACTAATTTGCTAGAGCAGCTCACAGACCTCAGGGAAATACTTTACTTACTTTATACTTCAGTRTTTATACGTAAATATTTAATTCACAATCCTCCTGCCTCCACCTCCTGAGCTGCTGGGATTACAGGSATGCACCACTGCACCCGGCCCCCATGTGTATTATTCTTGATGGAATTTATTAAAATTTTCTTTGTATTCTCATCATTCTTAGTAAATGTTTTAGAGGTGTTTTAAAAGGATATATAGTCTATTTGTTTACTCTATCTGTTGCTTTTTGAAAGAATTGTGCAGAAGTTTCTCTATAATTAGGATTAGTCATTGTCAATTTATATTTCTGACAACTTTTACTTTCTATTTTTCATGACTATATTGTATGTACATAAAAGATTCATGGCTTGCTTTGATTTCTCTTCTGTCTAATGTCAATCTTGCCATACCTGCTTTTTGCTGCTAGAATTTGTCTAGTAAGTCTTTTTCCACCCCTTTATTTTTAAATCTTTCTGAGTTGATTTATTCTAGAAATGCCTCATGAATGTATACAGCTGAAATTTTTTAACYAGATCAAACACTGTGCTTTTGAAAGCATATTTAGCCCATAGACACCTGTTATGATTACTCACATGTTTAAATTTAGCCTGCCATTTTATTTTGTAATTCAATTTATATGAATCCTTTTTGTTTATTTTTCCCTCGTTTCTGTGTTCAATATGGTTTTATTTCATAAAATAATACATTGAAATCACAAAATAATGTTGTTACTCGAGTCCTAGGCTAGAATCCCAACACTGGGCTCCCCACAAATCAAGTCTGGCTACTCACCCCAGAAACCAAATGGAAAATGTAATGATGAAAAGCAGGAAAGGGACTTCAGTCAAGGCAAGGGAGCAGCGTTCCCAAGCCTTGTCTTCCTGACACAGCGTTAGGTCTACCTGGAGGGAGAACTGGGGCGGGAAGAAGAGGCTGTGTAATTGAACACTCTCATCACACTGGTCTGTTGATCATCACCTCAGTTTTAGGAGGCCTGCTGATGTCAAGGAGGTTGTTGCTGCTCAGGGAATCTCCACTTGCTTGCTGGGTGTTTATCAGACCTGAGGTCCTGGGGCCGGGAGCGGGGTTGTAATTTGGTACCCATGAGGCTCTTGCTCCTGCTGGGGCAGGGAGCAGCCTCATCCTGGCTCAATCTACTTACAGGTCTCCACTGTTCTCAGAAGGTGTAGAGCAATGGCTGAAGATGTCTAGGTGCTGCTGCTGGGGTCTGGACCAGGATCCTGACACAGCTGGCCTGGGCTTGTGGGCATGGCCACTCCTGCCGCCTCCCGGACCCCATCACTGCCCTGCTCTGGGCACACACCAGAAGCCCACCCCAAAGTTCCATTGTATGGAGTTAACYCCATAAATTCCCCTCACACACACATATACAGCCTGCCCTGTGCCGTCCTTCATGCTGCTGTCAAGAATAATAAGGAAATTCCGGCYACTGTTCACTGCTCATTCTTAGAACTATGTAGGATTACGAATATGTAAGAAATGCTRATTGCAGGAAGGATTGGTTTGGTTTTTGCACTGCCTAAACATGTAGAACATACTCCTTCTCTTCTGCTATGATAAAGGTTTTCTGTCCACTTCGTCTCATGTAACTTAAAATTTAATGATCAATGACAAAAATCACTGAAAATACAGTTTTTTTTTTAATGTATTTTCAGTTGTCAATGGACCTTTATTTTACTTATTTATATTGGTGCTGAGAATCAAACCCAGTGCCTCACACATGCTAGGCAAGCGCTCTGCCACTGAGCCACAGCCCCAGCCCTAAAAATACATAGATCTCAATGGCTACACATGTATCCAAAGTATCATACATACATTGTACCTCAGTTAAAAAGTTCAGGAAAAATTAGAGATAAAGCAGACATCTGCATACCTTCTGTGGTATTAGGAGATGTGAGAGTAACTGTGAAARTCACCTCAGCATTTTCTGTTTTGCAGGGTGTCTTTTCTAATGAAGTATTTACCATATTATCCAGCATTCCCGAGGCTGAAAAGTTTGCTAAATTCTGGATCTGCAAAGCAAAGCTACTGGCAAGTAAAGGCACYTTTGATGTCATCGGGCTCTACGAAGAGGCCATTAGAAATGGGGCCACGGTGAGTGTCTGTCTTGGGTGGGTGACCTGCTAAGCCTTCTCCTGTGATTTCTKTTTGCAACATGACAGCAGTATAATGTAGTGTTGAATTTCTAACTCACCTCACAAAGTTATAATTAGGGTATGCAGTATAGTGTGTCCTTSATAGACACATTAAATAAAGTGTGTATTTCAGAGAATGTAGAGACACCAATAGAATCAGTTTTCTTATCACGTGACYATGTCTCATTTAATGCTAACTGTAGAAATGAGCAGTTATGGAAACTAATAGCACAGAAAGTTATAACATCAATATACAAGGCTTACAAAGAACTTGACCAGAAAGAACCTGAAAGTAAACTTAAATCAGCACATTCAGTGTATAGCAATAATTCAGAGCCATTTCATGAAAAAAAAAACTTTTGATTCTAAAACCTAGGAAAAGAAAAAACACTATTATTATTCTTTTTTTTAAGACTGCTTCTAATAACCTCATTTCTCTTGTCACTCACTGTCATTTTCCATTTCCTGCCCAGTCTGTAGTTCCTATTTCCATGCTGGTTTGGTGTTTCATATGCTCACAGTGTAAACAGTCAAGTAGTTCAGTAAGTTTCGTACAAGACTTCTGCCTCCCTCCCTTCCCGGTTCCTACCTCCCAGGACAAACTGATTATCTTTCTGTTTTTACCTGTGAAGCTTCAGAATCGCAGTTTTCAGGGTTAGGCTTGTGTACTTGCGGCTGTGTGGGACAAGGAACTGGGCACTCTTCACACGCTGCAGGGGTCCCCCACACCCACACACACCCAGGGCTCTTTGCCGTCCTTCACACTTCCACGAGAGCAGTGTGCAAGCCTCAGGCACTTTAGCGATCACACTGTGATGCACATGTAAGAAGTACCTGACTGTGTGTACCTTGGTTGCTTTGACTTTCAAGCACGACTTCTAGTTTTCCTAGCATTAGTTTTGCTTAGTTTTCAAAGTATTTATTATGTAATTAGTTTTCACACTTCTAATTTTCTAAATTCCTAAATACTTGGAAAACACTGACTAGTCTGTTGGTCTCTTTTCTTAGCGAGCGTCTGTCTCCTCCAGGCTGGATGCGTTGCTGCTCACTCCTGCTTTCACCTGCATCCACTCGGGATCCCTTGTCCTGCCTGCACTGGGCAGAGCTTGTCCTCCCCACCCACCTCTTCTCCAGGGCTTTGCTTTCTCTCTTATGAGTTGAGTTTTATTCTCTCTTGTTCTCAAAGGTCTATTCGGACTCTGCTGCAGTGGGGCTGTTTGCACATGTAAGGGCCGGGTTTCATGAGGCAGGGCAGAGTTCTGGATACTTCACCACAGGGTGATGGCTGCATTGATTGGTCAGAGAACCTCAGTATCAGTACCTTAGGTCTTTCTGTCAACAGGTCAGATTCTCCAAAGAGGGCTCTTTGTTCTCCTCCCCCAGAGGTAGAAATCTTGTGCCGGTTTTGGGGAGAGTAGAGCCAGGACCCTCAACTCTCAACCTGAAAGCTCCCTTTGTCCCTTGTTCAGTGGTCAGGCACCCTGAACCTTGCGTGAAGTCCTCCAGGGACTTGGAAGCTAGATCCCCAGTWTGCTGTCAGGATGAGGTGGTGGTGCAGTCACTAACTTCTTGGAACTCAGGGGTGCAGGGTGGACTTGRGTGGAAGCTCCATGATCCTCCTGGTCGCCCCACCTCCACCCCCACTCCTGACCTTTCAGAGGCCTGTGGTGTGAATCGTGTTCCCGAAGCTAGCCGCTGGCCCAGGGCAGACTCTTAAGGTGGTCTGGGCTCCTTCTCTTCCTTCCTTCTCCAGCTTCCAGAACCTGGTTACCACTGACTCTTTCCTATTCCTTGTATCAATTGGCTCTTTTTAACCCCTTTGTTATCATTTTAGCAGTTTCAAAAGAGATTAGAAGTAAATGTTCATCCAGTGTACCACCCTAATAYGAATCCTGCATTCAACGAGTACCATACAATTCAGACTCCTTGCAGTGTATTCTGCATGTTTATTCCTACCTCATTAAGCTTGGCTTACTTCTATTTAGATTTTGTAAAAATGTACAGAAAGCTTACTTTCATGCTCTGTTGTAGTATTTTACTTATTAATTTGATACACAGTCCCATGTTCCTATGAAAAAGTACAGTTCATTTTATGACTTTCTGCTTCATGGAAAAATGTTTTCATTTGAAAAAAATTAAAGCTATCCCAGGAAGTCACTTTTCTATAAAGGTTTTTTGTTTTTTATTTTATTTTATTTTATTTTAAGTATGTTGTTTTGCCAAATTTTAAAAAAAGAAAACAAAGGCAGGGGAAAGTTGCCCAAAATGCTAGCAAACGCTGTCTTTGGGTGACGGGAGCAGGAGTAGGCTCACCCTTAGCTCCAGTTCTCTGGAATGAGGCGTGGGACTTCATGAGGAAGACAAGCCTCAAGCCAAGGCAGCACTAGGAATGTGCGCTGCATTTTCTCTGTCTGTGGCCAGAGTCTTCAGTGGTGTGATGCAAGTTCAGGGGAAAATAGCACTTGGTTCATAGAGAAAGTCAAGTGTGCTGACACTTAACCAGCATTCTCTCCATTCCTTCATTTTTCTCAGGAAGTTTTAAAACAAACYTTGTAGGTGTTATCTATAGCTAGACAAGAAGATTTTAAAGGAAACATTTTGATTATAGAAAGTTTATTTGATGTTGTCTAAAGTTCCTTAGCTCATTTTTTCTGAGTATGTTTGACAGTATTCATTTATTTTCTTCGTCCTTCCAGCCAATACAAGAGTTGCGGGAAGTTGTTCTTAATATTTTACAAGAGTCAGCCAGAACCACAGAAGGTACTGTTACTTCTGCATTTAAATTCATTTCCTCTAGCTGTACAATTACCATTCAGGAGCACATAGGAATAGAGCTTCGTGGTCCCCTGAAACCTCTCCCTTCTGCCTCTGCACGGCCTGCCCTTCTCAGCATCGTCATCAGCTGGTTGGTTTCTGTTTTCACAAGCAGATGCTTGCCTCGTACTGAGCAAAGGTGGTTTCCACCAGAGAACCAAGATGAACTGCCCTGCTTCCTGAGGCCCAGGTCAGGGAGACAGAGGGCAAAAGGGAGAAGGCCCTGGGTTTCAGTCACAGGGTCAGTGCTAATAAACCCACCACCGCTCAGTCATCCAAATTCATGTTATCTCTTCAAAAATGGGCTTCTCAACATCTCTTCACTTAGCTGTCCATTCACAGGACCTTCTGTGTAAACCATTGTGCCAAACACAGTGAATATAATTGCTTATAATACTTGTTATGTGAATGGAAAGAAAAAGCATATCTTTCTTATTATCTCAGGAAGGTAAAAAAATTTTCTTTAAGAGTGGATTTTTTTTTTTTTTTTTTTGATGGTTCTGGGGATTGGACCCAGGGCCTTGTGCATGCGAGGCAAGCTCTCTACCAGCTGAGCCATATCCCCAGCCCCGAGAGTGGATTGAACTGGCGACCACCAAGTGGAATGACAGTGAAGTAGCCTACTACTTTAGGAAATAGAGTAAATACACTCAGTAGGAGCCCAGGAGGGACGCCAGGCAGCGTCCTCCCAAGTAGTAGAAAGAGGGAGCAGGACTCAGTGCCCCTGTTGCCTGCAACTTCTCTCCAGGCTCACCAGGCTCAGCATCTGCTGTCCCAGGCTGAGGGACCTCTCTGTTGTGGTTACTGGGTATCTGAGAATTCCACAGAGATAAGACAGTTCTTGCTCACAGTCTAAGGTAACAGCCTTGTGGCAGTCCTGGGTAGGAGAGGTCAGGGGCTGAGAGAGCTAGCACCAGTGAATCGAGAAAATTGATCTGGGGTGGTGTCGRGTGGAGAAGCAGGAGCAGTCCCGAGAGAGCTCTCCTAGAGTGGCTAAGAGGTTGGAAATGTATGTGGTCAGGGTTGAAAAGGTCTCGAAGACCCATCCTCAAGTGGCAGAAATCCACAGCTGGCTAGGTGTCACAGGGTATGGCTGTGGGGCTCAGCAGGAAAAACTAGTCAGAAGACCTCTTCGGATCAATCACAGCTTGTTGAACACATGGAGTCCACGAGGACCAGGGGGCATCATGGTATATGTTAGTGTCCARTTGCCAAGTCTCACTTTCCTCCCTGACCCTCATACACAGGTGTTAGCTCTGATGCTTTAGTTGCTGAAACTAATATCACTTCAGTGGAAGAGCTGGTCAACAAGATGGATCCTGGACAGCCCTTTCCTGCAGAAGAGAGGGACCAGGCCACGGCAGCACCCCCAATACCCCAGGCAGAGCAGCATGGGCATGYTGGCATCAAATTACAGATCGCCCCCATCCCAAGGTATGCCCTCCAGAGCAGGCCCAGGGTCACAGACCCTACCACCTGGGTCACTTCACCTCCACCAGGCTGGATACCTCTGTCTCACCCGAGGTCCAGCCACCCACTGATGGAGGGTCTGGTCTTTCTCTACACATACCATGCCCCCACCCCTGCTGAGATGCACCTTGCACAGGGGAGCGCACTGCCGGTCGGGAGGGTACAGGAATGGACTCTCCCCTTCCCGGGACAAGCCTACCTCTTCTCTCTCCTGCCCAGCATTTGGGGGTCCTTCCTACCTTCCCACCAGCCTGGTGCAATTGTGGGGAGGTGGGTGGCCCAGGGTCCAGGCAGAAGCAACTCTAGAGCCGTGTAAGAGGCACTGAATAGCCCACTGAGAACCGGGGGGCAATTGAGTGGCCCCACTGGAGCCCGCCAGAGCAGTTTGCTGTTTTAACAAATCTGTGAAGGGTCCGTGTCGGGGTATCGACTTCACTTCCTAAAGAGAAAGCCCAGCATCACTCCTCTCCTCACAGTCTTGAGAGAATCCCAAGCAAGAGCACCAGGGCCACAGTGCTTGCCTTAGTTCCCTGGAAAGCATCACTGGGCCTCCACCCGGCCTAACCTACTCTCCTGGACACAGTCTCCCSACCACTGCCCACTCATGGTGGATGGCAGATGATCTGAAAGCCACCCGTTGCTGGTTCAGAACTCACTATGAAAACCTAAGATAATGTGATCAGTCGCTGTGGAAGGACCTCCGCGCCCTGTCCTCGGGTGCTGCTCATTAGAGCACACTCACAGGAGTACAAGAAAAATGTCCCTTTGTTTCTCTTTCAGTTTGTAGTTTGGCCACCATCCTAAAAATTGTTTTTTGAATAATTTACTGTCAAAGCTAGAAAGAATCTTAAAATATATCAGGCCAGTTTGGTGTTAAGCTCTTTCCTTGAAACCTAGTGACTCTTTTGAAAGTTCGTGGGGTAAACAACAGCCCCTGCAGAGTGGTTCCCATCAGCCAGGCCACACTGCGCCCTTAGTCCCCTAACGCCCAGTGCTCACTTCACCCAAGAGCAGGTGGCACCCCAGAGGCCCTGGAAGTCAGGAAGAGCCCCTGTAGGAGGAGAGCTGCTCTGGAAGCGTCTGTTTTGTTATGGAGCAGGAAGCACAGGAGAGCAGCGGGGTTCTTTTAAAGGTTTTGACAACATCTCTTGCTCTCGCAGAATAAATGGGATGCCCGAAGTACAGGACATGAAGCTCATCACTCCCGTGCGACGGTCGGCCAGGATCGAGCGCGCCATCTCCCGCTACCCAGAGATGCTGCAGGACCATGACCTGGTGGTGGCTTCTCTGGACGAGCTGCTGGACGTGGAAGAAACAGAGTGCTTTATATTCCGTAAAAATGAGGCTTTGCCTGTGACATTAGGGTTCGAGATGCTTGACTCATAATTTCTTGACTTTTTTTAAAAAAAGRTATGTCAGAACCTCCATGAGATAAGAAATGTCCTTGTCCAGATGACCTGAAAAAAATGTATGATGGTGAGACATCATGATGGTGCAGATCGTGGCCTCTCGGAGCTGGGAGTAGCAACCTGCCTTACTCTCAACTTCATATCCCCCAGGAAGGTCTGGGGTGTTAGGTGCTCTGAAGCACGTGAGTTTTAACTCTATTTGCCACCATTTTGCAGCATACATAAGGTTCACAATGTTGAATGCTGGTTACTCTACAAGCGTTGAGAGCCATGCCCCTGGCATTTTGCCAGAAGTAATGGTTGAGAGGCGAGCCATTAAGATGATATTGGATTGAAACAGGCTTTGTATTCAATTGTATGTAGACCCCTGCTGTCCGACTGGGGTGCTTTGGAGAACTTTGGAGTTCTCGAGGGATTCCTGGGGAGTTCGAGTTGGTTGGTGAGGTTCCAGTGTAGGGAGTTCCAGTTGGTATGTGGTGTCACTGGAAGGACCATGTGGGTGGCGTTTGGGGGAGTTCAGAAATAAAGTTTGTTCCTGCTTGAGTGGCTCGTGATTTGTGCCCAGCCAGACTGCAGCATACAAGTGTGGAAAAAGTTTGCACTTTACCAGTCTRCTTTAACCCTTGTAGTTATTTTTATCTCAAGGGTCAATGCCACAGTGTGGTGGACTTGCCCTTTGGCGTCCACCTCAGCAGGGAGGGCAAGTTCTTGCAGGTGGAAACTGAACTTTGAAGCTTGCTGGCCAGGCTGGACAGCCGGGTCCCCTGATGCTGCAGATGAATTTAAAACAGGACGCTGTACCTGTGTTAGAGACCCTAAGAGGCCTCTGTGGGTGAGCCTCCACTTCCCCACCTGTTCCTGSGGCCAAGGGCAGTTCTTGTCCTTTCTGTGCCAGGTCTCCTCAAAGAAAGCACAGTCCTGGGTGAGTGGACATCTAGCTTTTTATACCCAAACCTAATTTTGCATTTGTTCTTCAGATGCTTCAAGTGAAAACGGTGGGGGGGGACACTTATTTCTGCACCCAGCTCTTGCTCTGCCGTGGACAGCTGGCTGGAGGAGGCAGTGTACAATTCCAGAGAGACTGTACAATTCGCTTTTTCTTCCCCTGGGCAACTGACCTAGGGAAAGTAGAATCAGAGTCATTATGTAAATATAATGTATAGAAAAACCTATCGGCGTGTTTTAAATTTTAGCTTTCTTATTATTTAATTATCTCTAAAAAAATGAAATTGTTTATTCTTGCTTATTTATTAATCTTATTTATTGTAGAAAACGGATGGAGGCTTGGGAGGAAGATTGGAGGTGGTCTGGGGAACACCCACTCAGCTGGCCTGGGGCGGGAGGTGGACATTTGCTGCCCTGGAGAACCTGCCCTGACCAAGGGGCTGACCGTCAGCCTCAGCAGGACTGGGTTTCTTCATTGGAGGGAAGCAGACCTCTCTCTGAGGTCAGGTGTGTAAACTGGGCCGTGAAACCCCATGCCATCAGACTGGCTTTCAGTGAGAGGTGAATCGTCACCACCACTGAGGTTCAGGAACCCCATGGCCTGGCTTGGCTGACCTCATGACATGTGGCTGTGCCTGTGAGGCCAGGAACGCTCAGCAGGTGTCCAGGCACACAGACCTGCACAGGGCCCAGAGGAGCGGAATGCCCCAAGCCTCTGGGCTCTCGGAGTCTGAGGAGCCTGCTTGCTGGTGCAATTCTTCATGTGTGGCTCCTAGAAGGTTTGTCCTTGCTGCCAGGGACCCACTGCCTGCTGGTTTCCCGTCTCCTCAGAAGCAGTCTTGCTATTAAAGCTCATTTCAGAAAAGCGGCTCCCTCTTCACTGCCAGCTCCTTGCAAGATGTCCCTTGCCCTTCCCTGGTGCTCACTGGCAGTGTAGGTGGAACTGTTGGCATCTAATAGGGTCCAGATCCCAACGTGACAGGTTGGAGACTGAACAGCCTGACCAGACGGGGTCGTCTTCTACCAAAGGATGTGGAGATGGCTGGTGCCTCAGCAACCGCAGGGGACCGCACCTTGCTCTCGGCTGCTCATTGGGGAGGGTCATGGGGAGTGGCTCATGGGAATGTGTGCCTGTGCTGAGTGCCAGTCTCGTGTTGTCTAGGGTGGTAGTTTAGGTGAGTGTAAAGTGAATTCTAAAAGGTGATGACCAGGATGGTTATGGGCAGCACTGCCATTCAGAGTGACCACGAAGACACGAGGAGGTGTGCAGCAGCCCTCCTGTTAGCATCCTGCACGGCGGGCACTGAGTCTACCCTCCCCAAGCTGCTCCTCGTGAGAGCACTGGCTCCCTCAGGACCACCTCCCACACAGGCCAGGCATTTTCAGAGGAAGGGGCTGTGGTCAGGGGGGTCATGTGACCGAGCCTGGACAGCCAGAGCCCACATCTCCCCAGCCAGGAGCATGGACTGGAGGTCAGCAGGTCTAGTGAGAACCCGTGAGGCCTCACGTCCCTAGCATTCAGTGGAAAGGATTCTTGGAGTTGCCATCAAGATGGTAGCCTTGAGTTGGGATTAGCCATCTGACGACCACATGACGGGACAAAACCTGCCGGAAAATAACTAGCTTCCACACAGGGTCAACTGCCAGCCGGACAGCGAGCTTGTCAATGACATAAATTGGCTGACTGTTCCTGGAACTGGGGACCCTGCATTTTTCTATTACACAAGCCAATAAATCCCCTTTTTTCTTAAGACCATTTCATTTAGTCTAATTTTTCATTAGGTGACAATGAAAACTCCTGACTAAAGACACACATACACACACCTTACACACTCCACGGATGTCTCCACATTCTCTCAACACCTTGGTGACAGAGAGGGAAACTAGCCAGACAGTGAACGCCAGGGTGATGACTTCAAACTTGAGGCTGCTCAGTCCAGAGCTTTTAGCTTCTGAGCAAGGAMGTGAGAATGGGCAATGGGGCATGGAGATCTGAGAGACCGTCACTACTCCCCTTTGGCCAAGCAGGAGTCATACAGTGGCCCGGTCACCTCCTACCATGGGATCATGACCCAGAGTCACTCCCAGACTGCKGGGAACTTGAGGCTGGAATTGTACACTGGTTCTGCTGCTGAAGCCGGCCCCCTGTGGAAATGCACCTCCCAGCAGCAGCAGGAGTGATGCAGTCAGGGCTGCAGTGCCAGGCTGGGTCACATGTCCTGTGGCTCTGCCCTCCCTAGGATGCAACCAGTCCATATGGCCAGAAGTGGCTGCCCACCAGCTCACTCACAGGCATGGAGTGGGGAGAAAGGAGGGGGAAGGTGCACCTCTCCTAAGGCCACAACTTRGAAGCCTGACACATCATTTCTGCTGCGATGGAGGGGCCAACACTTGGTCACATGTCCCCAGCCATCTTAAAATATAGCTTGGAATTGTGTATCAGGTGGCCTGTTAAAAATCCTTCCAGAAATGGGGAAGCCACACACACCTTATTAACTAAGGGATAGAAAAACGGGATATAAATGTGACATCAGATTTCATAAAGAAAACCTCCATCAAATGAGTGGCCCCACATGGAAGTGCCTGTCCCACTCTCCCGCCCTCTCTTGTCCCAGACAGGTTCCCAGGAGCTGAGAATTCTAAGCCAGAGCTCCTTGAACTTCCCCCACCCCTTCCCACAGTTCTCCAAGCAGACCCCGAGTGGTGAACTAGGTACTTCTTCATTMAAGAAAATGTGCAGCACCCTATGGGTGCCACTGATAAGTGGTGAGCCAGAAGGGCCTGACCCCAGGAGTCTAGTGGGGACTCAAATTCACAAATGTAAACAGTCAAGTCCTGAGAAAGAGGTCAGTGGGCCAAGGGAGAGCAGGTATAGCCCAAGAGAGGCAGGGACCCTCCCCTCCTCTAGCCTCCTCCCTCAGTTCTCCTTCTTTCTCCTCCTCTCCTCTCCCCCTCCTCCTCCTTATTCCTTCTCTTCCCTTCTCTCTCCCCCTCCCTCCCTGTCCCCTAAGTCTCTTCTGCTGACTATCCCTCAGTCCTCTTCTGTATTCCCTCTACTCAGGGCAGGAATTCTAAGGGTGGATTTTCGTAGTATTGGCTCCTGGACACTTCAGGAAAGACCTGAACTGAGAGCTGTGCAATGTTCCTGCTCAAATGCCCTCCTCCAGCCCCTCAAGAGGATCTAGAGCCGCCTGGTCCTGGCCGCAGAACCTTGGCCYGCCAGACCTGCACCCCTCTTAATGCACAGGACCTGCTCAGAGGGGACACACGGCGCTGGCATGTCTGAGGACAGCAGCGCTCCCCCTGCAAGAGAGACTAGGGAACAGCAGCACGAGACGCCCCCCCCTCCCCGCGCGCGCCCCCGCCTCGAGGTGCGCCCAGCAAWTCCCAACACGGAGGTCCATGCTGAGCCTCAGGGGACGCAGCCCACAGCACCCGGGACAGAGCCACAGTAGGAGCGAAGTGCAACCAGTGAAGGGCACAGTCAAGGGCACAGAGCAGTGAAGCAGTCAGGGCTCCTCCGCGTTTCCAGAYGCCGGCACCGCGAACTGGCCGTCTGGACCGGGGCTGGGGGAAGGTCACCGAGGCAATCTTCAGCCAGTCCGGTTTTATTCTCATTATGTGACAATCGAAGTGATAGAGACACTGTTTTAAAAAAGAAATAAAGACGCTGGCCGGGCCCCGCAGCTCAGGACTGAGCTGGACAGGTCTCCACGGTCTAAAACTGCCCGTGGGGAGGCTTCGACCAACTGCCCCTCCCGCTGTAACTCCCGGCTATCTGGACAGCAGCTCAAGCCCTCGTCCAGGAAGGGGTCGCTGTCGCCGCCCGCCGGTCCGCGGCGCCCTCTTGGCCTGCAGCCTTGCAGGAAGAAGAGAGCGGCCGTGGACCTTTCCGCCCAGTGGCCCCAGCCAGGGCTAAGGGGCCGGAGGGACCGCAGCCCGCGCTCCCACCGCCCGAGGGCTCGGGACTGGTAGCCGGGAGCGGGTCTGGAGAGCTTGTGACACCCTGATTACAGAGCGCATGCGCTGGGCTGGGCTTGGGCAGGGCAGGACACCGCTCCCCAGACCTCTCTCCATGCCGCTCTGCCTTCTGGCCATCAGGGGGCGCTCGAAACACGCGGGTGAAAGAACACATTTTTAAGATGTCACCTTTAAGTCGGGTACCGCCCAGCTTAAAGGTGACATTTTAAAAATCAAGCTGGACAGCTGTGCTGGCAGCAAGGACCCTGCACAGGGTTCGGGACCACGACTGCCCCTCATGATAGCGGTTGTCTCGGCCCATACATCAAATGATCTGAAATATGGGTCCTCCCTGTCCCCAAAGGCCGCCTGGAGCACCTGAGGGAAAGGTTTGTGGGGGGATGGGCCAGCAGCTGTCTGCAGAGGTGCAGGGCACCAACAGCAGCTCAGCCCTCTTGGGCAGAACCTGTGGCCTGTCGTCCTAATGCCCCATTTTGAAAGYCAATATTTAAATTTCCCCCTTTTCTAGTCTAAATTGAAATTCATAAATAATTATCTCCACAATTTCAAATTATCAATTTAATGCTCTAACTATAATAAATGAAATGAAAAGAAAATCCATTTATAAYAATATGTATTTCTACACAAGTATTCAAGAATGACTCCAGTTGAAAACCAAAAAAGCCCCTGTAGATTCCTCAATGCTCCAGCCCTTGGTAGCCCCAGGCCTCTGAGGTCCTCAGCCCAGCAAGGCAGCTCCCGCCACCACTCCCGGCCACTCACCCTCTGCC